AACCATCTTTGATAAAATCCCCTTCTGCAATTCCATCAATTCTGTTAGTTTGTTTGTTATCGTTACATCTTTTTCTTTCGGTTTTGCCACGTACATTTTGTCAGGTTTTGGTAATTGTTCAATTTTTTCAATAAAACGAGCTTCTTCATCATCTGCAACACTTTCAATGTCGTCGATATCAAAGACAATAATTTCTTTTTTATCCTCGTCTACATCACCATCATCGTCATCGTCATCATCTGCATATGGCATGTCATCTTTCTTTCTTGAATAATCGACCTTTTCTTCTGTACTTTGAGAAAAAACTTTCTGTAGCTCTTTAATTTTCATCGCGACGGTATGTTTGGTATGAGTCGGAGTAACATGTGGGCTTTCTTTGGTCTGTTTTTCAACGGCCTTTTGGATGTCGTCTTTTCTAATTATTTTAGTGGAAGAGTCTTCAACACGTTGAGCATGTTCTTCTATGTATTTCACTATTGCTTTGACTTCTCCCGATCCTGTTCTTGTCGTAACTAAATCTTCTTTTGTAAGTATGTCTTTTTTCTTTGGGAACATTTGTTTAATACCGGCTTCGTCTGAATCAATAGGGCTTATACCAACATCGCACATCTTAAGAGTGTCCGTGCATACTGAAATCTCAGCTACTTGAATTTGTAGTGGCGATAAGGCAACCGTCTCAGTCTCGACTCCCATAGGACTGCTGGCTTGATCTGTAAAGTTAATACTTTTTATTTCATCGTCTAAAAATTGAATTTCTGACTGGGGTAAACCGACATCATCGGCTTGAATAGGGCTCAATCCAGCATCCGTCAACTCGGCTTCTTCGATCTCACTACTGTTAATAAGAGTGTCTGAAGCGATTTTAATGCCGCTGCTCGCAGGCTGTTGAGCCAGGCTAGTTTCTGTAATAGTCCCCCTAGTCAAACTTATTCCCGTATCTGAAATATGATGAGAGACACTGTATTCCGTATCTGGACTTTCATCTAATGGCGATGTTTGCGAATCATAAGTATAAACACTTTTTTTCCCACTGAAATTGACTGAATCCTCCTTCTTTTTATCTTTTTTGTCACTGGTTAATATTACTTCCTCGTATGTTCCATCGTCTTTGTTTGCTTGTAACGTCGAATCGAAGTCTACAGTGTGTGAAGTCTTTTTTCCCCCTAAATCCCGTTTTGTAGTGGTTAAACTAATATGGGATTGAGAACGGATTGATATTTCTACATCGTGAGCTGTATAAAGTGTAAGTTTACTTTCAGAAGTTGCACTGGCTTCTTTTGTGCGGACTTCTTTCCTTCCAATTATCAGTTCTATTGTCGGCGGCTGATCTGTTTTCGCTTCGGCCATGGGATGAAAGACATCTTTATCAAGAGGACTTGTCCCTCTGTCGGAATGCGTATCGTCTTGTTTATTAGTTTTCAAATCAGATTCCCAATTAACTTTTTTTTCTTTTTCCTCCCCATCCCCAACACCCCCGCACAGTCGTTTAACGTCTTTCGTTTTTTCCGAATCGCTAAATTTAGGATGCTCCCGATACTTAGAATCTTTGACTCCTTTTTCATCTTCGGGAGACGATTGTACTACAGGGATTAGATTTAAAGCACCAGGGCGGGTCCTTTGGAGGAGAGAGCTTTCACGCAAACCTTGGGTAACTTGATACGATGGGACATGACTCTCCTCAACAGGTGTTGGTGTTTCCAACGGGAACTGTTCTTGGAAACCATCTGTGTCCAATGAATCATCATCGTCTTGAGGTGAGGCTGTAGGCACTGTGCCGTGAAACACAAGAACATGTTATCCTTGACACAATTATTTAATAAACAGCCACACTCTCAGTCTCTCTCTCTCTCGCTCTCGCTCTCTTGCGCGCACTAGGTGCCAAAGGAGGAGGTGTTGGGGTGTCGGGGGGTGAAATAGATTCAAGAACAGCAATTAAAACAATAAGAAGCTCGTCTTGCCGAGGAAACCATTCAAAGAAAGCCTATAAACTACAAGTAGCAGGGAATCGATCTGTGCACTGTATATTGTGTCTCCTGCACCTTACATAAATATTTCTCTACTGTGAGGATGATAATAATAATTTTCATTGGAAATTAATTTTTTTTGCAAAATACATGCAAGCCGCTCTTATTATTGGATGAATCCCTCCCCATTTCGTTTATCAAGTTATTTAAAAAAATATTTTTTTTTAATGAATATCATTTTCTTACCTACATGTGATGAACTGAGTCTTATGATGATCTTCGATCAATATTTTAATCACGTTAATAAAGTAAAAGTCCAGCAATATAACTTACGATATCTTGTATCCTGAATCAACTAAGTCCAGTTTCTGAAACTTACTTTTTTTTAACAATTTAGCAAAAATCCAATGGTTCATGTTTCTTTCTTTTTTTAAATAAAATTTTTAATCAATTGGCCATATTTTATAGTGTTGATAGTTTTGCTTTATATCATGATGTTTTTTTAAAAGAAATTTTCCCACATTTGAGTTTATGTTGTAATACTTCAATGTGCATTGTTTAATGAATGAATGCAATGTAAGATGAAAAAGCATAGCATAACTACAATTTACATGAGTTGAATTGATAATTGTAACAAAGAAAAAAATAATATCCGACTGTGTCGTGTATTGTAATGTGTAACAATGATATATTTTTTTAATGAAGGTCTAAGGCACACAAACATTATAATCACAAATGTACAAAAAGAAATTATCAAATCAAATAAAAATGCAAGCATGAGTACACCAAGATGGCAAGTAATACTGCAGAAACAAACAGAAAAAAAAGAACCAAGCAAATTAAATGCAAGCATAGCTAAAATAAAAAGTAAAAAGGGATGAAGGAAACGGTTGTTAGGATTTAGGAATTTTATAACTAACAAACACCTTAATTGATTTCTATACTTTTTTTTTCAATACAAAAGTTACATTATTAAGGTGTTTGTTACTGTTCAACAACCAATCACAAAGCACACACTCACACTACAAAACTGATAATAAAACTTTTTTTAGTATAAAAAAGGAGCATATAATTATACACAAAATTATCAATCGAACATAAAAGAGACTTTTTTTTATTTAAAATTTTTTTTTAATTCAAAGCGTACAAATTACTATTAGAAAAACTAAATAGTTTCCACTAAAGAAAAGACTACAAGAGTTGAATAAAATGAAAAATTGCATAAGGTAGAGTAATATTTTGTATTGCTTATACAGATATACATTTAAGTAAATTTGTAATTAATATCTATACTTAAATTTATGTTTACGTTGTTTAAATCATTATGATAATTAATAGATAATAATTACAATTAATTTATTTCTATACTTTGGACTGTCATTTTCTTTATTGTTTCGTTGTGAATACATTTTTACATTCGTAATAATTGTATACTAAAAAATTAAGTAAAATTTCACTAATTTTACAAAATAAAAATCAAGATGGAATATTTATACTACACTATCTTAAAAACCCATTTATGTTTTAGTGGTCAATTGACCAAGTTTCTTCTTTCAATTAATTATTCTTTTTATGTAAAGTCTTGGTTGAGATAAAAAAGTCAGAGTCACGAGCGGGATTCGAACCCACGACCTTTGGTTAAATAGCTAGCTGGAATGGTAGAGCAGCGGCGTATTTAGCCAAAGGTCATGGGTTCGAATCCAGCTTGTGACACTGACTTTTTTATCTCAACTAAGACCTTACATAAAAAGAATATCTTAAAAACTTTCAACATGGGAGTTTTTAAAAAATAGTTTTAAAAGCAAGTTTCATTTAAAAATAAATTGATTATTCTCTTTACCTAAGGTATTGGTTGAGATGAAAAAGTTAGTGTCACGAGTGGGGCTCGAACCCACGACCTTCAGCTGAATAAGCCAGGTCGTGGGTTCGAATCCCGCTCCGTGACACTAACTTTTTCCTCTCAACCAAGACCATAGGTAAAAAGAATAATTAACTGAAATAATTTGTATGATGAATTACCGCTAAACTTATATGGATTACTTTATTAAAAATAAAGATAAAAAAATAAATCTGACAACTTTGACAAGATTTAAACTTATTCTCTCATGTACCTAGGTTTGCTCAAATTATTGCATTTTATTGTTAAACACAATTTGTAATAAACCATTGTTTAAATTGCTATTATTGTTAAATTACTACAATTACAAGAAGGCAAGGATATCAGAAAGAAATGATAATCTTAAGTTCTTCACGTTTTATATCAATCAAATTATCCGATAGTTTCTGTCGCTCTGGACTTAATTTAAAATTAATCATTGGCCAGTTAGAGGTTACTGTTACTCCATTGTGAAATATTTCTTAAGGCATAATAAACAAGAAGATTACCTTATAAGAGTGGTGTGAAAGAAAGTTTAATACTGACTAGTCAAAAGAGAAACCTTATACGGTTTGCTTCTCTTATGTAGTCAGTTAATTGGTTTGTTTGGAAGGGTTAGATCAATATAAGGAGGGGTGAACTACGTTTTCCATGTTAATCTTTAAACTAAAGTTAACTTTTTATTTTTTAAATCTATCCGTGTTTTATTAAATTATCTATTTTATTTATTTTTTATGTACTAAATATGAACTTGCAGTTTTTTTTATTCTAACATTCTTACACTATGGTAATAAAATAATTATATAATTTTAAAGTCAAGATGAAACCTTATGATAATTTTTGTTGGCTTCTAAACCTTGTAAATCAATTTGCTTGTGAATTTTGTTCAGTGGAAACAAATTTAAAAAAATATATATGTATAAATATATATAACATTATAATTAAACAACTGGCCTCTTTTATAGTTTGATATGTAACAATCAGCATTTCAATTGGATTTTATAGAAGTCATGTTTTCATGGTTTTTGTTGCATAATGGATTTTGACGTATGAAACATACTGAGTATAATTTTTTTGAAATGCTGAATATTTTTTATTGCTCCCAATGTTATTTTTAGTGTTAGGCTTATTATTTATTGAAATAAATGATTGAAACGTACCTTCACCAGATAACAAAGATGTTTGGATATCTGAAGACCATTTTTTGTTATCTGAAAACAAAACATTGTAAGATTACAATTTGATCATGGGTGTAAAAGAAAAGAGTCAAAGCTTGGAATATGTCTGAGGAAGGAAAAAATTTCATAATAGAAAGAAATAGTAGAATAATTTATTTTTTAGCTTGATCGTATATGATCCTGGTCTGCCGATTCTCCATGGTTTTGGCAATTCATCATCCTCAGTTGATAATTTAATATAAAAATTAAGGTGCCCGACGTGAATTTTGTTTATCATCTTTTATTTTTAACAACTATGTTGGCAATATAGTTCAATGACTTTCAATAAGCTTCTGTTTGCCCATTAAGTAGCTATAGAAAAACGGACGATGATTTGAAGCATAATCTTTTCACTTTTAACCATGCAAGAGATATAAATTGAAAATCTCTTCTAGCAAAACAGTGATTTTGAGGGTAAGTAACCAAGTGCGATAGAAAAATCATCATTGATAACACAATATTGTAGTAGGTGTCGCACACCTTCCTGGGCTATGACCTGACCTATGATTATGATAATTATGTACCCACCTAATTATCTAACAAGATTAGACTGTTTGGTAGAATCATTCTCTTGGGTTAAAAGTACGAAAGGAAACCGAACACAAATTTTACAAATTAATGGAAATTTCAATGCTTATGGAACACTAACACAGCAAGAAAAGCAACAAAGCAGTAGAAGAGAAATTCTCACAAAAGGCCAAGGGATGTACCTTGGATGACCAGATAGGCAATGAAATCTTCCGAGAGGAGTTAGAAATATATTTTATGATGGAGCGAACCAATAATGGCTTTACCACATGGACAGAATGGACAAATCCTGACTAGTTAAACGTCCAGTGGCAGAAAAATGTGTATTGTGTTTATCAAAACTTTTTGCAGTGTGACGCTCATTACTGTCCTGCTTGACAAGGACATTTTCTCAAATAACAGTTTTTTTAAGAAATTGAACACATTTTCAAAATGTGCATGATACTGATCATTTTTAACCACATTGATCAATTTTTTTGAAGATTTTAGGAATTAATTAATTCCAGGATTTGCCCTTGGAATTTTAAGTGAAAATTATTAGAAAAAGTATTGTAAAGTGATTAATTAAGGTTTTCAGTTGAGATAAAAAGTCAATGGCATGAGCGGAATTTGAACCCACGATCTTTGGCTAGATACGCCGCTGCTCTACCACTTCAGCTATCGTGATTTTTATCTCAACTGAAAACCTTAATTAATTGTAAGATATTAATTGGTCAAGCGGACCACGAAACTAGTGAATTTAATAAGTTTAAAATGAAGTATACCTTCACTAAAGCTCTCCGTGGCCATTTCATTTGTCGCCGAGAATCAAATTGATTACACGACATTTGAAAAATGGCAAAAAGGAGGGAAAATTCAAAAGGTGTGGTTGAGATGGGAAGTTGGTGTCTGAGTGGATCGAGGTCACGATAGCTCAAGTGGTAGAGCAGTGGCGTATCAAGCCAAAGATCGTGGGTTCGAATCCCGCTCGTGCCATTGACTTTTTTATCTCAACTGAAAACCTTAATTAATTGTAAGATATTAATTGGTCAAGCCAACCACAAAACTAGTGAATTTAATTGTAAAGTGATCTGATGCTTTAACCACAGCACCGAAAGTAGTTGGCCATTAATCCCTTCTGTATGACAGGAGTTACTTTACACACTTTTTATGTATATTTAAGCATTCTTTTCCTACTGTGTGGTTACAACAAAACATAATTTAAGTCAAAAATAATTTACCTGGAGGTTCTTTGCTGAATTCTGCGGGGCTTGGCGGCGGTGTTTTAACTACCATTGGAGACAATAAATCTGCAAACAAAATAGCACAATTTCAATCTATTATTATATTTTTATTTGTCCTACTATTTTATAATGCACTAAATTATGCATTTTTATTTGAAAATGCTGCACAACAACTTGATAATAAACACAAATCTTATTACCTTGTGGTTGTGCCTTGATGACTCCAGTTTTTAATTTTCCTAATCCCTGACTCACTTCTTCAAATAATTCTGAGTCTCGTCTGTAATCAGCTGTATGCTTTTCATCTACTTTTGTAAATTCTGTTGTCACTTTTGTTTCTGATACATCCTAATAGGACAGTAGAAAATGAATAAATTTCTTTGTTTGTATTTTTTTATAGTTATAGATTAATAATTTTAGTATGATTTTGAAACAAGTTTGAGGTGAAAACCTACAGTTTGATTGTCCCTATGGTTTTACTAGTAACAATAGACAAACTAGGAAAATCATGGATGATCAACCAAGGAATTTCAACGCAAAATATTTTAAATCACTATAAATATTTTATTACCTTCTGTGTTTCAGATGATGGTAGCTTGTCTCCTGGCTTTTTCATTGCAAGACCTTGCTCGAATGACAGTCGTTTCTCTTGGAATGAAAGGCTTTCTTCTTCAACAACACCTTTTTCCACGGATTTTTCCCTTTGGACAACAGTCACAGTTTCCTGCGCCATGCTTTGCTCTTCTTTTATGAATTTCTGCAGGTTCTCTAGCTGTTTGATTTTTTCTTTTGGCGTAATTCCCATTTCGAATGATTTTCGCTTTTCGTCAAAGGACAAGTGCGCTGGCTCAGGGGAAACGGCTTTTTCTTCGGCTATCTCTTTTTCGCCCAACTCGTCCAGCAGTTTTTTATCTTTTTCTGCAGTTTTGATACTCGTTTTCATACTTTCCTCTATTGTTTTTGTTTCTTTCGTCGTAAACTTTTCCTTTTTCTTATCGTCAAAGTCCTGAGACAGTCTTTTTTCAATTTCCTTCTTTCTCTCTGACACACTTTTGTGCAACTCTTCTTCAACCTCTTTTTCTTCTGCACTGTATTTCTTTTCATCGTGATCATGTTTGTCAATGGCTGGAAATAATCAGTTTAGAACACCATATCGAATATTATTTGCAAATATATATTTATAAAATAAATACCATCTTTCACTGGAATTTGCTTTCCTTCTTTTCTCTTATCCTATTTAATCAAATATAAATTTTTTATGAGTTTATATAAATAATATTTAAATATGGTGACTTTTAATTACCGTTATAATTTCTTTTTGGACTGTTATAGTTTTTCTAAACACGTTGTGGCAAGTGGTATAAGAAGGACTAAGGTCTTCGCTTAGAACATAGGGATCAGTTTGGTCCATGCTAAACACAGTTTGTTGTATAATATCATCTCTACCAATATTCCTAAGGCCCTTTTCCAGTGCTGAAGCTAAAAAAATAAAATAAATAAATAACAAATAAAATAAATGTAAAAATATTTTTATTGTATTTTACCTGTTGCTTTGTTTCCAGCACTCTGGAGCCAAAGCCTGAGCAATGCAAATCCCTGTTGGGCCTCACTAAGATCACATAATTCAGTCTTTATGCTATTAATTTCTGAGGTACTTATGTCTAATTCGTTCGCTAGTTTCACCCAGTCTTCGCCGAGGAGATTGCTAATGTCTGACAGCCTTTGTAAGCCACCTGGATCAGAATCATTTTTAATTATTTTTTTGTACAAACTAAATATTTAAATTATGTAGTTACTTGTGTGTGTAATGTAAGAATGTTTAGGAGTTTCTTGGTCGTGAAGATCAGAATCAGGAATAATTTCCTCTGGCAAAACAATATTTAATATACATATTGGTTGTTGTGGAGCATCGCCTTTAGCCACCTGGAAACATTCAACAATAAGATACAAACAGTGAAATATTTAATAAATTTATGATATGGGAAGTAACATACCTTTGGTTCTCGCATAAATATGATTCTGCCAAGGGCATCAGCATGAGGATCTTTAACTCTACCAGTAAAAGGCAACCTATTTTCTTTGAAAGCCCTGAAGCCTAACTGGAGTTGTTCACCTGATTTTGTCACCGGGACAAGATTTCCAGCAAATTCCAAATATTGCATTTTTCCTTCTAGAACCTTAATACACACACAAAAAAAAAACAGATTAAAATAAAGTTCTTATAAGTAAAATGTTAAACTAATCTACCTCAACATCTCTGCTCTTGGCAACTTCAGTGAAATGTTCTTGATGTTCTAGAGTCTTGTCCTCCTTATCATCTGTCATACAGAAAACCCTAAGTCTTGCTTCTGTCGTGTCTACCCTCTTTGCAAAAACAACAAACCTAAAATAAAATAAAAAATTTTCGCAAGTCAAACGCGTAAAGAAAATAAAGATGTATTCAAACAATAAACGTACTTGGCCATAAAAGGTACGTGAATCGCTTCTCGATACAATTCGGTCGCCATTTTTGTAGCTTCTGATATGTTGCGACAGTCCATGAGCCAGAACCTGGCAGAAACTGTGGTAGTAAACGAAACGCAGTCATTGACAAATGTAAGTGGTGTCGAACCGGTAACATCCTCCCATTGAGCACGTGTCGTACCACCTAATTCAATCATACAAGTACTGTAAATGTTAAGAATTTATTTATATATAAATTTTAGACTAAACACATATTTATCAATATTAAATTTCTTTATATTTACAAAGAAGATTTTAAGTTTAATATTAAATTTTAACACTAAATAAATTTTCATACAGTCAGCATTTTTTTTTTTTTTTTAATACAGTGTATTATTAATAACAAGATGCTCTAAGATTACGTTATGATTATTCAAGCAAATTAATTTTTCTTTGCTAATTTGATTGTATACATTTTTTTGTAAAGCAATCACAAGCTATATCAAACATTTTTTTAATATTGCAAACATGTATGTAAAAATTACTAAACTTCTTTTTTTCTTACATTAGACTCATGCATTTCAAAAGTTTCAAGTTCAACAATTTTTTATGTAATTACCAAATAAACAGGTTGTAAGATTGGTTCAATCAATTTATAAACATATTATGCTATTATTAATGATAAATGAAATTATTTTTATCATTCTGAAATTATTTATGCTAGCAGCCATGCTATGTCTACATATATTCTACACCGACTTGCCAAAATAAAAATTTCCATACAAATATAAAATATGTACAGTTAGAAAAAACATACTTTTAATAATAAGCACGGTATATAATGTGTTTTTTATTCATTTCATTTTTAAAATCGCTACAAAATTTGTATTAATATTTTGTAATTGTATATTACAACTATAACCAAAATTAAAAGTCTATATGATTTATTGTTTTAATTTGAATTTTTAAATATTGGATTGTAAAATAAGTCTGTAGGGTTTTTTGATAATTCAATTTTATCCATGCTGTATTTTGAAACAATTTTTATTCAATTATTTTTATTACACTTTGAAAAGAGATTTTTTTAAAAAGAAGTTTTGAATTGCCAGTTTCATTTGACATCTCATATTTTTCTGAGGTGTTTTGTTAAAATTGAGGAAAAATTAGCACTAGCGTGTTCAACAATTAAAGGTATTTTATTGCTGTAAAGGGAAAACGTACGAAAATTTGTGATGTTTTGGTAATGATGCTTTGCAAGAAATCACGTTCGTAAAGGGTTTGCTCGGTTCGGAAGGAAAAATTTTGATTTGGAAGAGGCAAAACATTCTGGTCGTCCTTCAACAGTTGATTATGACCAAATTCAAGCTTTTGTACCAAATAACTCACACACAATGACACTTAACATTTCATGTAAGCGTTCCAACATAACTGAGCGAAATTGGATATGTTTGTCAGAGCGATATATGTGTTTTCACATATTGACTATGAATAATTTATTGGACTCCTTCTGTGATTTCCTCCTACAAGCAGTACAAAAAAAACCAACTATTAAAAATATTGATAACTGTGTCCTGTACAGCAATGTTCTGAGAGGAAAATCCTGGAGAAAACGTAGCAACTTTGAAAAAGCTAGAATAAATAGAAATAGCTAGAATTTGTCCAAAAGAAGTAATTTTGTTTTGGTGGAATTGGTGATTATTGTGCCTAATAAACCATACATTTTAGCATATAATGCATACAATTGGAGAAATTAAAGTCAACAATTGATCAAAAGTGGCTAATCAAAAGGGATTATTTTCCGCCACAATAATGTTTGCCTCATGTGTCTTTGCAGACGCAACAGAAATTCTTGGAGCTTGGCTGGGATTTGCTACCCAAAGCATAAATTTGTATTAGCATTGCTAATTAGAACTGCTCCTTTAGATTTTGACCTATTTGAGACTTGGAAAATTACATTTTTCAGGAAATCTTTACTCCACTTGTAGACTGCAGAAAACACATCGAAGAGTTAGTCGCTCAAAAACCTGATAAGTTCTGAGAAACTGAAGATTACATGGAAGATAGTAAAGCAACAAACTGGTTAATATATTTTCAATTAAATCTGTCTATAAGTACATGAAAGTTGCCAAAAAACGCTACGGATTTATTTTACAGCCCAATAAGCTTTGAATGTTACATGTATATTTTTATGTTTTTCCAAAAACATAGTTGACATCTAAATCATGCACATTATACTATATTAATTGCCAGTTTAGTTAAATTATAATTGAGGATCAAAGCAAGTAAATTGTAGTACTAGATTTAATGAAAATCTCAAAACAAAAATACTATAACATTCAGAAAATGCAAAAGTTCTCATTATGTTTTTAAAGATTTACTTTTTTTAGCTATTTACAATAATACCTAATTCTATAAATTAAAATTCTATTTAAGTAAAATTATTTAGATAAAAGTTTAATGCACTTTAATAACCAATAGTCACCTCTGATTTTAATTTAATACATATTCTTACTTTTTAAAATTTTGCTAAAAAACCTATAAATATATGATGCATATTGTATGGCAAAGTTCTATATGTAAATCTTTATAGTTGTTTATGCAAATCACAAACTGTTAATTACTGATAGTAATAAATCAATGAAATTATTAAAAATTTGATAAGCAAAATATTAATTTTTGTAATAGTTTTGTTGCTTAAATTTTTTTTATTGTCAATTTTATTAAAACAAGTTTAACTAACAGTATGATAAAGATGACTGATTTTTTAGCAAGACAGGTTTTATCATGTCACACAAAGCTAAATGTAGTTAGATGAAATAAAAACAAATTAAATAGCATACAAAGCATTTCAAGCATCCAAGCAAAGTCAAAAACAAAGGAACAGATTCAGCAAAAAAAGAAGCGGCTAAATGTTTCAGAAAAGACCCTCTTTGTGCACACCTATATTTTCATATAGTTCGATTATTAATTTGTGTCTAACGAAACAAAAATAAACCAACGTAAAAAATAAATTTCTCTATACTTATTTGAACAATATTCATTTGAGAAAAGGAGCCAAGCATGTCTTTCATTAAATTTCTCTGCATACGAATAACCCCTTTAAAATTATTTCAAATTTTGAAAGTGGAGCAAACTGTTGAGAAATAGATAGCATTGAAAGAAGTAAAGTCTTGTGCTGCTATTAACAGTTATAAAACAGTACAGAATGTAATAATTAAAATATAAGTGACTGTGCAAATTATACAAAAATCAATTAGTGGCTTAAACTAATAGATAAGAGTTATTGTGAACTAATGATTGGCACCGAAATAATTTATTTTCCATATGCAATTGCTTATATTCAAACAGCATTTTTCATTCATATACATGTACGCATATTTTTATATATAATAATTATAATAATAATTCAAAATCGTTGAATTGTTTTAACTCAACTGATATATATAGTTTTTTCCTATAAAGAACATCCGTACATGTATTGCTGAGTTTCTAGTTTAATTTAGAAAGTAGAAAAATTGTGAAAGATAAGAAGATAAATAAAACATGTAGGCAGTGTTAATAAAGTGTCCAATGCTGTTTAAGAGTCTCATTGGTCATAACAGCAGGGCTAAGAAAAATAATCAATTTTGTAAATAAGGAAATCAAATTAAAAAGAATATATAAATATATATAGAAAATGTAGAAAAAATATGAATAGATAGAAGGGGTTTCCCATTAGAGTATTTACCTCTGAGAGATCTTTTCCGAAACACGCCTGCGCAACAGTGCAGCAATAATCAAAAGTGGTCAGGTCAGATATTGTAAATATTTTTTTTTCTATTGGCTTAAAGGGGCTGGGAAACTTAGTTATGACGGCAAACATATATATTTAAATTAAATACTATATTATTATATCATAAATAATTTATTGTTTCAAACAAATTTAATATATATTTTTGCCTTAATTACTGTAATGAAATAATTTAAGTGCTTAATGAAATCGAATGCTTCCTTTTTTTTATTAATAAATTTATTTGCAAGCATTGAGACGGAAATATCTCTAGTTGTAAGTCGATTTTCCAACCCCCCATCAATAGGCAAACTTATGTGCAGCATTTCATTGTTTTCATGAGTGAACGCAGAGTTCAACTGAACCCTTTTTATATTGAGTTGATGATAAAATGATATATGTCAAGAAAGCAAAACAAAAAATGTCTCAAGACTAATATAAATGTGTCTCTAAAATTGAAAACGTAATAAAGGGCTTTCTTTGTCCATTCTACACTGATGAGAGCTAAAGGATTATTATAAATAATTAAAGTGGAATCAAAGAACGCCCTCACTAATCTATATATACGACAAATCTATGATACACAACTTCAGAATAGCAAACATTTACCAATAAAACCTCTCTTTAAAACCATGGTACATTTTAAATTTTATTCTGTAATTAAATTCTAGCATTATTCATGATAATTCAATGCACTATCTCATTATTAAAAAATATTTTCTACACTGGAAATTTACTGGATCTATCTAACATAATACAAAATGCACCAGTTCTAATCTTGGTTCATTTTAATCAAAAATTACTAATTTAAAAAAAACATAAATAACTACACATGAAACCTATTGTAAAAAAATTATATAAATGTCTAAACTTATACAATAATCTAGGTTGCAGTTCTGTTTCTATGCACATTTTTATCATGGTCACTCATAATAATACTCTATTATCCAAATTTAAAACTTCTCCTAGTTTTATGAAGCTGTCGAGAATATAACAATTAAATACAAATTTAATTTAAACTCAATGAGTTAAAAAAAAGGTTTTTTATTAAGTTTTTAAAAGGTTTTAAGTAAGTTAATGAAAAGAAATAAAGTTTTTGCCTTGAAAGATGTTAAAAAAAAGAAGAAAAACTACATCACAATGTGCACATGTGAATTTCAAACACACTTTTAAAATAAAAAATATGTGCCATAGACTAGGCAGACCAAATCACTATTACATTATTTTAATAGTTTGTTTATGAGAAACTTTTTAGTAGACAGGGATAATGTTTTAGTGCCATACAGCACAAAAATAAAAATAAAAAATAAATTAAAAAAAGAAGAAAAGTAGACACTGAACACACAGAGCAAAGCAAACTGTACAAATTTATCTTAATTTTTATTCTTGAACTGCTGTGAAGGCTGATGTGGTTTATCTTTACTTTTGGCCTTTTCAAAAATAAGTATAATAAAGATTTTAAAAAAAAGAAAAAAAGAGGCAAATTTTCAAAAACAAATATAAACATATTCCAACTTTAAAAAAGTCAAAAACAAATCATACCTGTGATACTACAAAGAAGTCTTAAAGTCGGTGCATCTCCGCTGTACTGGTTTATCATCCCTTTGTTGGCGGCTTGCGGGACAGGTATCGTGAGCGAAATCGGCTTGTGGAATTTTCGTCTTCGAGGTTCGACTGTCACAATCGGTGAAACGGCAACTCGATTCCCAAGAAGCTTAGCTGTCAATTCAGTTGGTATAGGCTGCGCCTGGACATTAAAAAAAATCTATTTAGTTTTTTTCCCATTATTAATAACTGAAGAATAAATATGAAATGAATTTATATATAAATAGTATTAAATGGAGGTTTAACAAAATTTGTTTATTTTTTAAGAATTCTGAAGAAAATGATTTTTTGATAGAAAAAGAAAAAGAGAAGAATATTATATAATAATGGATCATGCCTACTAGCTCTATATATGGAGCCAATGATTATAAAGTAAGACATATTAGCTAACAATTACCTTATTATTATTATTTTTTAAATAAGATGTACTTTTTGTATCAATTATTATATTTTGAGCCAGTGGTATAAAAAAAATTATTCAGTATAAAAAAAGTTTAAAAAAGGCAAATATTATAAACTTCCAAGCAACTATAAAAATTATTTATACCCTATATAATCCTTTTTTATCATTTTTGAAAAAAACTTTTGAGGCATAGTTTTATAGGAATTATGGTATCCTTTTTTTTTTTTTTTTTTTTTTTTTTTTTTTTTTTTCAAAAGAGGTAAATGATTCATTTGAAAAATATGCATTTCTGAATCAGATATTTTGAAATAATTTATTTGAAGAAATTTGAGATGTTTTTATGACTTAAAAATTATTAATTATAAACAACTAGTAAGTTATAGTTTGAATAAACTTGAATAACCAAAATGGAAGAATTAGGACTATGGTGGTCAAGTATTTAGGAGTCTCATAATAAAATTAAAATTAAATAAAATTAAAATCTCATAATTAAAAACTCCCAATGGATAGTTAAACGTTATTCCTTAACATGACAGAAATTACTTTACTATAATGGAAGAGTCTATGAAGAAGACATATGTCAAATTTTTCACGATATGAGTAAAATTCAAAATTTTAACATTAAGTACACAAAATATATTTATTATATTCTGTTATATGAAGCCTAAATCCAATTAATTTCTTTTTGAGCATTTCTGTTAGGTTTATCTTGTTTCAGTTGCGCAAATAATTTGGAATTTTTTTGATCAACAAAACCTAGCCTAGCCAATAGCTTTCAGTCAATTTGATAATCTAAATTTAAACAAATTCTGAGTTTATTTTTGAGATGCTCGAATTAATTATTATGTAGAAAACAGCTTTTTTTCAAGAGGACAAATATATTTAAACTTTTTATGATGTAAGATGTGTGACGTATAATGAATAAGAAAAATAGTTTGAGAAGAAAAAATTAAATAGAAAATATTTGTAAGAAGTGTATTAACATAGCAAGTTTTGTTTTTAGTTTAATTATACTAATAAAAATATTAAATTTAGCTTCATCTCATCGTCATTAGTGAGTACATCTGATCAAATTTGTATATTTTTGTGTGGTGATTAGTGACCATTAATCGATATTTATTAAGAAATCGTGAGTTGCGGTCTGGTGTGATGTAGGTTTCAGAAAAAACATTTTATTTATCGTGCCAACGTTGTTTTTCTGAAACCTACATCACACCAGACCGCATCCCACGATTTCTAAATAAATATTTGTATATTTTCTTCAATAATTGTCTGCTTTTTTTTTAAAGTTTTGTAAAAAAAATATCTTAATATAGTACTCATTAATTTCAAATTTTGAAGCAGAATATAGAAAGAAATCCCAAGAAATTTAATTGAAAATAATATGAAAAAGTGGTTTGACACAATACCCAACAGGTAGTTGGATAGGAATTAATTACAAAATATTTGTAAATTTGAAGGAGTCCATTTAAAAAAAATTCTCGTTAATATTGGGTACAGCTATTAGTATTAATACATAAAAATTAAACAAATTAGCATTTATTATTCAATTACTTATTATAGTTATTAATAATTTAAAAATAATTTAATTAATTTAAAAGAGCTGAAATCTTAATTTTAATTTTATAACGGCTACTTAAAAAATTTATTAACAACGCATTGGGGGGGGGGGGCACGTAGAAAATTGTTTTTGCTCAAGCAGCACATTTTTACTAGCATTATAATTTCTTAATAAGCCTATTTTATTTAACTTGACTTTATTATATTAAGTATTACAATAAAAATTAAAAAATATATATAATTATTTGGAGATCATGAGATTCAGTCTGGTGTGACATAGGTTTAGAAAATGTTTTTCTAAACCTACATCACATCAGACCAAATCTCACGATCTCCAAATAATCATTAATTAATGGTCACTAAAATATATATAATACCCATAACATAACTATATTTTTTAAAAAAGAAATACACTTTTCCTTTCAGATTTTACTCTTTCTATCATTAAAATAAAACATAAAATATGTATATTTTATTTTTTTAATATCTTAAAAGTCATTAATTTCAGAAATGTGCAATATCTTAACACAAAATGAGTTACTTTGTAACTAACTTACCTTTGTACCTATTTATAATGTATGTACTAGTTTTAACTGCAGTTTTTTCATATGATAATGTAATAAAAATGTTAGACCTTTCCAATAATATCGTAAAGAAAGTGTAAAGGTCAAAACTATTTTCAGATAATAAACTTTATAATAGCTTCCATGTGCATATATTTATATGTTTGTATGGATAAGTCTTTTTGTTCTTTTTAGTAATTTTACAACCTTAGGTAACTATGAGAAGTTAGCAAGTTAAGAAAACAGGAGAATAAATATGAGTCAATGAGAGAGATTATAGAATAGACACAGAAAGTTGATGAAGACCACTAGATGTTTTGTTGGCCCGTAACAAACATATTTTATTACTGTACTAGATTTAAATTAGCCATAAAATAATTAATATTAACTAAACTATTTTATTTAAACAATGAAATTTTTTTTATTGGTTATGAAAATTATGAGTTTCTTATGGCTGGAACTTTGAAGCAACCAGACACACTCATTATATTTTTTCTTCTCTCAAATTCATTATAAAATTTATTCCTACATGTACCTGTACATACTATGTATCTTTGCATTTGTTATTTTATAAATATGTACACACATTCTTTATATTTGCCATTCCTTGAGTTTTGTTTTCATGATAGTGAATAGTGTTTGATCACAGTAAAGAAATTTGTTTGTTTAAATCGAAAAATTGATTAATTTTTTCAATTGAGTTTAGTCAATGTTAAGCATGAATTATAATCATCCAAAGGCTTTGATAAAATTGCATTTTCATGCTTGCATTTTTTTTCACACATTGTTTCAGTGGAACCAATGTGATAAAAATGAAGTCAATATAGCTAATTATACTCACTGACGATAATAAGCAGTATTAAAATTTATTTTCTTTCGTTTTTAAAGGTTACTGCTAAATAAATACTCTTCTTTTTGTAATAAAGGTGTAATACCTCATAAGGTAGATTACCTTTTGTCTCTCAAAAAGATGTAGAAAACCTTCCATGCAAGATTAAAAAAAATGGAATTTTAAAATAATTTTGATGTCCAAAGTGCAAATCTGTGTATCAACGTATTCCACGTTTGTTATTAAAGAAATGTTAATAAGTGTTAAAAAAAAATTACTGTTTTGTAAGTGCCATTATCCAATTTTCGGTATAAGCCGGTCAAAGAAGGAGAGAAAAATTGGGAAGTGGAAAGGTAGAGATGCAATGTTTAGTGGGTATATAGAAAAACAGCACAAAAGCATAGCTCGAAAATAATGGGGCGCATGTCAGAAACAAGCAATGTAGGAGTAAAAAGCGTACAGGACATTGCATCTAACATCAAAAGCAAAACTCAACCATTGAGCAACAATTCGATGCCCAATAAATGTTAGTTTGTTAGAAATTATTATTTTTTATGCAATTTTTATCCTTTCTAAAAATAACATGATGGTCAAAACTGTACTACATTGTCCACTGTACTGCATTTGAACCTAAATTATTTTCGAACTGTGCTTTATCGGCTACAGTCATCACTGCCAGATCTGGAAATATTGTCTCTCCTTTTATAACGTTTAAACTGATGGCATTATGATGCGATAGCTTCTGTCATATCTGTGTAATTTAATTTTATGGCTTAGAGAAATCATAGGCAAAAAATTAAAATACACAGAAATAAAAACAACTTTTAATGCAGTATATAAACTTTGTACCAGTTTTGGTATTAAACTAAATTTATTGGGCACATTTTGTAAATTTACAAATTTTCTTTTATGTCTATAAAGTGCAACATATAACTAGTGGCAAGTGAACCTTACAGTATTGTTTTAATACATTTTTTTATAAACTTTATTATATTTTTAGTCTTCTAATCTAAGGCAGTTTTGAGGTCAAAAGTTTTAATTTTATTTAAATGAAAAATAATTACATTGTACTTTTAAATTAAAACAATTACAAAAAATTGTTTTTTTCTTTAGTTTTCAAAGTTAAATTAATTAAACAACCAGTTAGTTAATTTTTTCTTACCTTATGATTATTATTTTAAAATAAAAACACTACAGATCAATACAAAAAAATTCTAGTTACTAATTTCTTCCAGGGTTATACTAATTTGTTGTAATTTGGCATTGATTAATTTGATTTACACATTTGTTTTTAATTAAAACAAATACTATTTGCTTTGTAATATTTTAGGTACAATAGTATATCCAAAAAGAAATAATAAATGTTTATTTCAATGTTGTTTTTGTTATTTAACTTCACATTATTTTAAACTGTCAATGTTTTTTCTTAAAAACATTAACAGTTCAGTGTTTTATAACTAAGTTTTAATAACTTCTACATTTTTGACATTTATTACAAATACAAATCTCTTTTTCTAAAACACTTATTCAAATTATTTTCAGCTGCTAAATGCTTAAATTAGACACAATATTAACTTTACAGAATATATTATTACAAAAAACAAGTGAAATGAACGAATGAAATTATTAATACTTCAAAAAACAATAAACACCAGGACAAATTCAATAAATGTTAATAGCTTATTTTTTTTATTGTAAACTTCACATTATTAATGGTTAACTACATAAAACACATTACAGATTAGTAAGTGTCATCTTTTGTGAGTAAGTTAACTGGAAAAAAAAACAATATATATAAAATAAAATAAATTGGTTCCATGCTAGACAATGTATAAATTATTGAATACATTTTGAAAATTGTGTGCATGAAAACAATTGTAAAAAGAAAAATTACAGTAACGGAAATTTTCAATGGGAAGGTGTGATCACTTTACATTCATGCACTACCATGCATTTTGATCGGTTCTTTCACTGTCAAAGCATCCAAACAAGTGAAATGAAATAATAAAAGTGCAAAATCTACTGTCACTTCTTTAAAAAAAAATATATATAAAAAAAATAAAGGTCCTTTCATGATAAATAAAAGGTATACTGAAGTAAATGTACATGAATTATTCCAAGCACTTAATGGACATAAAAGGTAGAGTAATTAGCATATATGATATATATAAATAAATGATTGAACTGACTAGGAACGATCACAATAATAAAATGAAAGAGATTGCCTAAGGTAAAATCTTGATGCAACCGAATCACCATATAAGCGAGAATCGCTTCTTTTTCGGTATATGGTTGACTGTGATTTTTTTCAACGATGCTGCATGTGCATTCTTCCTTGGTTTGAACAGGTTTACGTTTACCTGAAGGCCTACTTTGATCTTCTTTGTTAGAGCTCCGTGTGGGAACACCGCTTGGACCTGAGGTACGACTGTCGACGAGACCATTCCGCCTTCCGGTCCGATTGCATGCACTTCTTGTCTGACCCTTGACACGACAGCGATGTAGTGAGGGAATTCGGTTGTCAAAATCCTTGTCGTCCTTCCGCTATCGTCGACCTGATTGATTTCTGTTGACAGAAAAAATGCCTTATCTTAACTATATAATTAATTGAATTATTGTTAATTTATTGATTTATGCTCATTAAAAAGTGCAATGAAGTTTTCAGTGTTTATTATTAAAACTTCTCGAAAAGATAGTTTGAAGAGATATAAAAAATTTACTTATTTTATATTACATACATTAAATAAGAATTTATAGATTATTTTAAAAGAATGACGAAGTTAATAGAAGCAAAATTTATAAAATAATTACTCCAGTAAGGGAAATTTGAAAGTAACTTTAACCCATAGTGTTTAGCAGTCATAATTGACCATATTAATCATTTCCATTAATTATTATTTTTATCTAAGGTCTTGATTGAGATGAAAAAGTTATTGTCATGAGCGGGATTCAAACCCACAACCTTTGCCTTGAAAAAATGGCAAAAACAGGCAAAAAAAAATTTGAAAGGTTGTAGGTTGTGATGAGGAGTTAGTGTCAGAGAGGATCAAAGTCTCGATAGCTCAAGTGGTTAGAGCAGCGGTGTACAAGCCGAAGGTCGTGTGTTCGAATCCTGTTCATGACACTAACTTTTTCATCACAACCAGGACCTTCGTAAAAAGAATAATTAATACAAACTTTAACCTTTTGAAGAATATATCTTCTTCATCAGTGCTTTTAACAATTAAAGTAATTTCTGTCATAAGGATGGCTTAATCCAACTTCCCATTGGGTGTTGCGAATGAAGAGGTTAGACCACTTTACAAACATTTTTCATATATTAATCAATTGAAAAGCCATGGGTTCTGCAAGGAGTCAAACTCCCTAATTACTGCAGTGGCTGGCCAATTTTCAGTGTTCAATAAATATAAAAATATATTTACAATATTAAAAATTACGGCTTAGTTCAGTTTTATTGGATTCCATTTTACATTGCAGTTGTTAACCCTTTAAATCATTAAAACTATTTTCAAAGTCCCGATGGTAAAGAGAGGATACATCACTCAAAATATTGAAATAATGTGGTGATTAGTGACCGTTAGTCGATAATTATTCAGAAATAGCTTAAATCTGGATTTGTTACAACTTTCTTTTATCATTTGGTTCATAAAACTACAAAACGTAATATGAAACATACCATCTTTTTCGAAACTATGGCTGAGGACATCGTGGATAGCTTCTTCAGTGGCTTCAAACGTGTGTTCCCTCCATGTTTCACCATTGTCTGATCGTAGGATGACAATTTCTCTCTCTTTACCACGAAGTGAGCCAAAGTGAGGCACTTCTATCATGACAGGGCTGAAATGGTCAAATCATATATAGATATATCCAGGTTGTTCAAAGTTTTCAAAACTTACCCAAGGAACTTTGCGCCGACCGGGCCCAGTTCTAAAATCCTACTTGCAAGAGCTTCACCTTCCATGAGTGGAGGTGGGTGAGGTAGTTTGTCCCTTTTGAGATATCTACATGTCACGCGGAGCGGCATAGAAGCACGCCGAGGCGGCACAATGACCCTGACGCCTGAATGTCGGCAGCCTCTCATAGCACCACCTCTTGCGTCTACTAAAAAGCTCACCAAAAAGCTGAAAAATAAATTAAAAATGTTTTACATTGAATTTTAAAAATAAGTTTTGGAAAGACTTTTCTTAAACTATTCTCATTACTTACTTCCTCCATTGCAACTTTCTATTTATTCCAAACGCAGCATGATAACAATTTTTTTTAAATTAAATAAATTTTCTTTTTATTATATTTAAATTTTCTCTTAAAAAAAAAGAATTGATATTGAATTTGTATACACACCCCACATGAAGAGGATGTTTGGTAATGTCAACATTATCAGCAGTTGTAAACTGTGAATAGCTTTCTTTGATGTGTTGTGGGCTGATTGTGTCATCTATTGCTGTTGGTGGTCCTGCAATTTGATTTTTTTTTAAATTACACACGAACATTATTAAAATTAACTTGCGAGTATAAAACTTACCCATGTCCCGGTTGTCTCTTTCATCCCTGGTCACATCAATCGGTAGTGAATCATCACCTAGACCCTTCATTTCGTCGACAGTAAGATAGTGGTAAGGCTGCTCACTCAACATGGTTTCTTCACCTGTAAAATATTGAAAAAAAAGTCGAATTAGCATTATAAATTGAAATTGTTTCTTTAAAAATTAACAATCATTTTAACTATTGAAATTTTCTTCTTACTATTTATACAAAGCTGCTATTCACTTTTAGTCATATTTTATCTTATATCTAATTTGTTTATATATATATATTTTTAATGGTTTTAGTTGATTTTCATGCTATCCATAATCTAAACTCTCATGCATCTGTTATTTAAGTTTATTTATTATCTAATAAAACACTTTATAAGACAGCATTGCCAAGCTTTTTCTATGCTAAAATTATATTTTAATAAAAGTACTTTAACTAAGTTTTGCAGTACTAAAACCATCACAGAAATTGTCTAATTAGAACTAACATACATCACAAACACTTGATTGAATTAGGAAGACATTTAAAGATAATAAATTAGTTAGCTCAGGTTATTTTTAAATAACTATCACAGTAGAAATAAAAGAAACTATTAAGGATGTAAGTCTATTGAAAATAAAGGAACATGCTTAGAAAATTTTTATACATAAAAGGCAAGAAGGCTTACTGGAAACTTATGGAATAGAACAATTAAGATTAAAAAAATTTAATCAATTGAACTCAATAATTGTAAAACGTTTCAATATATTTTGTCTTGAATATTTATGCAATGGTTGATATCATTTTCATTTGTTTGAATTTAATTTTCTGTGCAATAATTGACTTACGAGTGAATATGGAGTCGCCCTGAAAGTAGGGTAGATAGACGTGTGGATGGGCGGGTGTAAAGCCATACTCTAGACCGAGCACATCACCTGACACACACACAAGCACAGTGCACAGCCATTACAGGTGCATAACAATGGACAAAATTTATATTTTATATTCTGATTCTAACCGTTTCATTTTTTATGACATTTATTAACTACCACCCTTTAATGAAAATTATTGATCGTTCGTTTCTTTCCTTGTTGTGGTAAAATATTTGTATAATTTTACAGTTATAAATATTTAAAATTAATAATATTATGTATTCAAAATAATGAAAATCTTCGATTAAAGGACCTTTTATCAAATTATATACAGAGAGCTTTTCTGTCCAATTATCTGCCATTTGCACTCTCAAATATTTGTTATGCTAAAGTATTAAATTTGATCTATATTTTTGTAAATTGTCTAGGTTTATAACAAAAAATAGTAATTCAGAAAACATCAATATTCACCATTCGTAAAAAGTTTAGACAACATGAGGCACTTTGATAGAAAACGTCTTGAAAGCTTTTGTAAACGGTTGTCCATAGAAATCAAATTTATTTGAATTTTTTTGCAAGGTTAATTATTCTATTTATGGGTTATTAATTATTTATCATTAAACTACATGACAATATTTGACAGTTTGATCACAAATGAGTGAATCATTGAAAAAACTTGGAACATAGCCACTGGCCAAATATCATTTTAAAATTTAACAGAAAATCACACCCTAAAATATTAATAAAATAAAAAATACATATTGTGTATTAAAATAGGTTTGTAGCATTTTTCAATAATCTGATTTTATCCTTCTTGTGTTTTTGAAGTCATTAGTTATTTCGCTAATTTAAAATTGATTAAAAATAGTGCATTTTTGATATGTAATTTTTTTTTTATTACTACAATACAATGTTCATGATGATTTAAGAAATAGCACCATCCTAAAGTGGTTTGCTTGGTTCAGAAGCAGAAATTGGATTTGGAAGACAAATTGCTCTGTTGGTCCTTGAACTGACGATGATGAACAAATTCAAACTTTCTTTTCACAAATAACTAACTCTCAATGATATGAGACAACAAAGAAAGAGAAAAATTTATCTGAGAGCAGCCAGATATGCTTTCAAAGCAATATACTGAGAAGAATTGATAAAATGTCCCATTGTCAAAAATATTGTCGACTGGGGATGTAAAGTCTTATTTTTGGCCTGTTACAAAAATGTTCTGAGAGGAAAATCTTTGGGAAATGCAGTGACTGACCATTAATAACTCTAAATGCCGGATCCATTGCAATCCAAATGCAAAATTCCCAAAAACAAAATGTGTATTTAGTGTGATTTGAAGAAGGTGCTTTATTATTAGCTTAATCCGACAGACAAAACCATTAATTCTTACGGTATACTGGACGCAATTGGAGCAATTGACCAAAATTAGCTAACCACAAGGAACTTTCCAACAGGATAATGCCACCCCACAAAAATTTTTTGGGCTGATATATGCTATCTCACCTTGCGTTCACTTTTTTTCAGTTTTTATTCGAAATCTTATGTTTTTACAAACATTTTTCAACCTTTTTTCAAAAAATTCACTAATTTCGTGGTCCGCTTGACCAATTTTTGCAAAATTTCAACATTTAAGGTGGTTTATTAGGAGCTACACAACTGGAGCGATTAACGTCAACAATTGGCCAAAAATGACCAGCATTTGGGATGGTTTTCTACTAGAATTTTCATATTTTCACTTATTCCAAAATTCTATTAATGTGAACAACTTTAATCCTGAGGACTGGAGGAAACTCACTGATGAGTTCATTTCTCAAAAACCTGAAAAGTTCTGGGAGGACTGAATTACAAAATAGTAATGCAAAATGTTTCATACATTGTTGATTAATTAGTTAATAAGTAATTAAATTTTCATTGAAACTATCATTAAAAAATGCTACGGACTTATTTTATGATCCAATATTTTATAAAAATAATCAAATATAAGTTCTACCTCATTTTGAAAGTTTTTAATAAAAATTAACAATGATTTAAAAAGTTTAATTTATTTTTATAAGAGTTTTACTGTAACATTCTATACTTTGTTTACTGCTTTTTATCTTTGTATTTAATTTTTATGGAATTTTAGGCTTTTGTTTAGTTTTATGAAATGTTGAAAAGGCAGAAGCAGAGCAAAAGCAATCACTGTATTTCCTTGAGCAGTAACGTAATATTCTTTTATTGGTAAAATGGCCCATTAAAAGTCCCCGGTGGATTGCAATTTACAAGCTCTACTTCAATTTACATGCAATTGAGTGATTTAATGAACTGTGTATTACTTGAATGTGTTTTAAATTTTGTAATTTATATTTAAAAATCAATACTTATTTATTTAATTTTTAACAAATAACAGGACAAATATTGCGAAAATCATGAGGGATCCAACAGTCGAATAAAAGAATTATGGGTTCACAAATATAAATTTACTGTGCACATGCGTCAATATTAACATTATTTTTTGTTATTCACATCCAAGCATGTCCAAAAAAAACCACACAGAAAGAGATACCAATAGATTGGGATTTGAAGAGAGTCAAGTAAGTGAAAAGCAGTCATTCTTAAAACTATTATTTTAAGTGTTAGTGTCGTGTTTAAAGGGTAATTAAAACTTACCACCTTCATCTTCGGAGTCTGACATAAAAGTTTCTTGCATCGTCTCTGGTGCCACCACTTTATATTTCTCATCAGCCGAAGTGGGGGAAATGGGAGTGTCTGTAACTCCTTTCAGGCTCTCGACGACACTGATGTAGCCAAGTTTCTGAGCGATTGAAAGAGCCGTCTGCCCTTGCTGCAATTTGAAAAAAGAAAAATTGCAATTATTTCTTGTCATAATCAACTGACAAAATATGGTATTTAATTAGTAAGAAAACACATCACTTGAAATATTTTGACACTTTTCTTGTATTACAGACTTTCTTTTTTATTTCTCATGAATAATTATTATTTTAATGTTTACATATATTCAAATTAGTATTATTGCACTTTTTAACAATCTAATATTTTATTTGTACTTCTATCTTCTAAATTCTCTGTATTTTCTACAAGTTATTGCTAAAAACAAAGTTCTATCAACCGATAATCTCTTCTCTTTTAAATATACAATTAATATTATATTGTTCATCTTAACATCCAATTTTTAATTATTTAGGTAAACATATAACTAAAAATTGTTAAACATTAATTTAAGGTTAATTTGTCTTGCTTTTTTCTCCACCGGCCTATATATATCTATTGTAACATTAGGATTAAGTCCTGGGAAGTGCACTTTTTCCACAAAATTAAACACTTTCCTTGCTACTTCTTGGCCCACTTTTTTTGGTGTAAGAACCAAAGTAGTTACTCCATCCAAGTCTAGTGCTTCATATTTGTAAGAATGCAGATTTCTGTAGTTTCTCTTGGCAGAGTCAGCATGTTTCCGCCTAGGATTTGCCCACCTTCTTTTGGGGGTAGTTAAAAAGGACAGTGTACGGTAGAGAGGCTTAATATTTTCCTCGAATTTTGCCTGCTGAAAGAATTACTCTGCCTTTCTTTTTAAAATATTTAACAATCTCTTAGCTTGTCTCACGCCTAATGCTTTTGTCCAGTGGTTGAGATTTCTCAAACCATTGCCCAACTCTAACTTTAGCACATGCTTACGAGTATAAAGGTAGGCATACTGAAATAAATTTCTGAACAGCCAAAGTCATGATTTATGGGACAATTCTGAGGCCAGTAGAAACATGGGCACTGCATGATGCAGAAGAAAGAGTTAACTGCTGCAAGAGAAAGGTGCTATTCATAATTTTTGGGCCGGCGATGGAAAACATAATTTACAGGTTCTATAGGAACGCAGAACTGAAGATGAAGATGAAGAATAATGAAGATGAACAATTATAAAAAAGGGCAGACTTTGTTGGTTGTTCTTTCTATGAAATGGAAGAAGGCAGAGCTCCTTGTATAGCAAAGGGCATCCTGGTGGCCAGAGATCTAGAGGCTGACCAAGATTGGTTGAAAGACTTGTAGAACGACCTACAGAAGCTAAATGTACAGCAGTGGAGGAGAAAGGCTACAGATTAAGAGGAATAGCAGAAAATGTTGAAGATGAAGGTACTAAAAGGGCTGGATCGCCATGGAATAAGTAAGTTGAGCCCCTGTTAACTGGCGACCCTGGCCGATTCCTGTTTTGGCCTGTTAATCTGAAGTTTAGGTATTCCAAAGGGAAATATTAACAAAAATGTAGAATAACAATCGTTCATGATGTACATATAAAAAAATATGTGTGCACGTATTTTATTATGCATTTGAAAACATAGAAAAGATGAAGTATGTATATACAAGTTAACAATGGAAACAAAGTTTTAAAATGGTTATTTTCTTTTATTTTTGAATTTTTAAATGCAAAATCTCTCAAAAGTTTTTTCATTTTTAGTACATCTGTAACATTCATTCCCACTCTTGCTCGATATCCTGAAAAGGACATGAGGATCTTTTAAGACCGCACCTAACCCTAGGGCCATATCGGTCCCCCATGCAAGCACAGGATTGTTTCTCAAGAAGGGGGGCGACACGTTTCCATCTGCGGTGTGATGTGCAATCCGTAGATTTTCATGTAGAGCCTTGAAAAAGGGTCTTCCCCACTTGGCTCTTCTGCAGGGCTGGGTCGGCAGACCGCCCGACCAGTGTCACAGCCGGAGCTACCCCCGATCAATAGAGAAGGCAGCTCTATCGAAACCCCTAGTGTAGGCACTTCTGACAGACAAGCCGGCACTGGTTTTTATTTAAGTGGAATGCTAACCACCATCCAGAGGGCACGATGTACCCCCTGGGCTTCTCTCAAGAAGCTTCACCATGTACCGCTACGAGTCCGACCTCAGTTGCAAGCAGTAGTAGTTCAGTAATTCTCGCATATAGGACTCATGCTGCTGTCCGCGAAGTGTAACTGATTTAACACCCAACGTCTAATTGTGGCCAATGTCTCTGCAGAAATTTGCCAAACCGTCTACTGATTTAGAATGCTTGCCAGGAACTCAAGGCTACAGTTAGTCTGGATATCCTCTTGCAACCAAGAGGAGTGAGTGGGATCTGGGGAAGTGGGAAGTGATTGGGATTGAGAGGAGGGTATGTGTATGTTCGGCTATTATGCCTTGGGTGATGGGATCGCCAACCCCTACGCCGCAGTACATCTGTAACAGTTGAATCATGTTGCTGTTCAATGTCCATCAATGCCACCTTTTTTCCTAACTAGGCTGGTAAATCTGAAGGATGGTTAAAACATGGCCAGTTAACAGGGGTTCTACTGTGACTATAACTGGTGTGCCTGGGTAGTTCCATTCCCATGGTGTAATTCAGGAATTTCGAGATCAGTTTGGAGGTAAAAGCATACAAAATTAGTGCATTTATTGCACCTTGATTATCCGAAAGCATGTTGCATGTACCTCTTTTTTTATGCATACTGATTTACCATAACATGTTGTCACACTTGGTTGTTATTGTTGTTGATTGTTTATTGCACTTTTTAATCATAGAATATAGTATAGAACTTGGTTGGTCTGCTAGGCGTAACTTCAAGATTTGTTTTAAATTATTTGGCCAGGCGGCTTCGGTGGCCGCAACAGTTAAGGCATTGACATGGTGCTCATCACTGTAAGGTAAAGGTACCGGGTTCAAATCCACCTGCCCTGCATTTGAATCTGACATGCTTACAAATGGGCTTTTTTTTCAAAGACACCGGCACACTGAGGGTTCAATATACCCTCATAGTTGAAATACCCTTGTTAAAAATTTGAAACTGACACTACATAGAAAGTTTTTTTTTCTGAAAAGCATTTCTTCTAGCATTGAAAACCTTGAAACTAATAAAAGAAAAAAAAATTGAAATTATTGTTCAACTTTGATATTAAAAATGCTAGTATAAAGCTAGAACTGGAATTAGACAGTTGATACTGATGTTTATTAAAGTTACAGTTATTATTCAGCTGTTCACTAGAATTTAGTTTGTCTAATTTTTCTAAATCTTCTTTTAAACTAAACTAGATAATTTTTTTTAATAGAAACTTCACTGATATACTGCTTTGTAGATCAAAATGCAATTTTTGTTCTAAAAAAAATCCCAACACATGCACTCTACTTTCACTTTAAACGTGTGCTTCTAATTAAATTATTCTAAATTTTGACAAATTAACACATAGCAATTTGTAAAATTAAGTTTAACATACCAGGTCTGTTTCCTATAACAAGTACGGATATTATTAAATTAAAATAACTTCAGAGAGTAAACACGCTTAGGTAGTAAAATAATGAGTAAAACGTGACATTAAATTTGCCGAATGGCAGAAATGATAAACCAGTATGGAAATTACATCAGGCATGAGGTCATCCTATTGCTCTTACGCCCAAAAGGAAAATAACTTAACGAACTGGTTGCTATTCTAATTCGAAAGATCAGATACTACTGCAAATCTGTTAATTGACTGCTTGAACTTTAATCAATTCAGTTCAACCTTCAATCTCAGTTTATCTCAATCAAATATTGTTTATTTAATTTTGTATATTAGAAGACTAAATAGAATAGAATGTTAATTCTTCCTAGGACTAGAAAAATACAAAGCAATATATTTTGGCAAAATATTTAAAAAAAAGTTTTGTAAACTTGACAATTAAAATATTAAATATCTTAAATTTTATTTTTTTTCTAATTTAATGACCTGAAATTTTTTTTATCATATTATTGTAGTAATGTTGAATGTATTAATAGTGAATGAAAAATTTAATATATTTTTTATGGCGATTAAAGATTTTTAAAAAGATTAAATATTGATCTCTGGTGTAATTACAGCTACAATCAGTAAAAATTTAACATATAAAAGATTCTTAAATGAAAATATTAAAAATGTTATATTTTAAAATTGTACTTACATTTGTAGTTGCATTAGGGTTGGCTCCAGCCTCCAGTAAGGCGTTGACGATGCCTGAATGGCCCTGTTGAGCCGCTTGGTGCAGAGGAGTGTAATTGACTGCTGTAGTTGGTGTTACGTTTGCACCGTGGGACAGCAAGAGTCTGACCATGCCCATCTGACCAAAGTGGCTCGCGACGTGGAGGGGTGTATAGCCGGCCTGAAATAAACCGAGCACGTCATGTTGGTGTTTTAAAAGGCTGTTTATCATTTTTAGTTACCTTGGTGGTACAGTTGACTTGGGCGTTGTTTTTAAGGAGGATCGTGCCAACTTCTACGCAGTCTTCTTGCGCGCAGAGATGAAGCGGGGTTAAACCATTCTGTAAATATTTAAAAATTTTATGTAAGATCAAAACAATTGTTGATCAAATATTTTCAATATTGTGTGTTATTTTTATTTTTTTAATTTGAACGATGAAGATAAAATGTTGAAATGTTATTGAAACAATTAGTAATATTTGTTTACTCAATAGAGAGACAATTTCAGAAACAGACAAACAAGAATTATTAATTAAATTTATAAGAATTCAATTTTTACCTTTGCTTTGTGGTTGATGTCGGCTTGGTGCTCTATAAGAAGATTTGACATATCTGCATGACCTTCTTGTGCTGAAAGATGAAGTGGTGTGAAGCCCGCCTTAGATTCAGCATTTGCCTTAGCACCATATTCCAAAAGTGTCGTTGCAATGTCCATCTAATTAAAATTAAATGATAAGGCAATTTTTCTATATTTTTAAAATAATCCAAAATAGAATAATTACTTGGTTTTTCCTTGCTGCAATGTGAAGCGGTGTGTGGCCGTTTTTAGCTGTAGCATGAGGAGAGGCACCTTTCTCCAGAAGGAGCAAAGCCACGTTTTGATGATCATAATGGCTTGCGACATGCAGAGGAGTGACTCCATTCTGAAATTTAATTATTGATTAAATGATAATTGATATTTTTTTTCAATAAAAATTATATAAATTAAAGTTTCTACAGACTTTGCCTTGAGCATCAACAGGAGCATCTCTTCTCAGTAACAACTTGGCAACATTCATATGACCATATTTAGCAGCTAAATGCAGAGGTGTGAATCCTTTCTTAGTAGTTGCTTCCAAAGAAGCTCCATTTTCAAGAAGAACTGACGCCACCTTAAAAAAAAAAATCATAAAGTAAATTAAGTATATACTTTTGATCATGCAGTTTTCTCCTATGGTCTCCTATGGTGGTGATTAACCTCTAATTTGATCAACTGCTTATCTTCACTGGGTTATTCTACCAGATGCATTTTGGCATTTTGCCATCTTCAGTCTCAGAAATTGATCATGAGTCTGATAGACCAACCCAGTAAGGATAGACCAAGATGATCAGATCAAATTACATGTATAATTTTGTCTATTTAATTTTTTGAGACATTACCTCATCTTGACCTTCTTTCGCTGCAATATGAAGTGCTGTGTATAAATCTTTTGTTGTTGAATCGACACTAGCGCCGTGCTGAAGTAACAGCATTACAATATCAACATTGCCAAGCCTTGATGCAATATGAAGTGGAGTTTGTTGCTCCTGAAAAAATTTACAACGGTAAAATTTGTTTGATATTTATTAAAGGAGTCGGATTACCCTTGCTCTGGCGTCAACTTGGGCATCGTTTCTAAGGAGAATTCTTATAATGTCAGTCTGATTTGCTCTGGCAGCTAAATGAAGTGGAGTTTCACCTCTCACTGTGGTCACATCAGGGCCAGCTTCATTTTGTACTAGATAAATCACAATGTTCATACAACCCATGAAACTCGCGACATGTAAAGGTGTGAGCCCACTCTGGAAAAAAATTAAGAATTTAACTTAATTTTTTGTTACAAGGTTTGCAAAGTTACCTCTGTGGTTGCTTCGATTGAGGCTCCGTGTTTCAATAAGAGCTCAACGACTTTAATCCTGTTCTTTTTACATGCGATATGAAGTGGCGTGAAACCATTGAGGGCTCGTGCATTTGGGTCGGCTTTTCGGTCGAGCAACAATCTGGCAACACCAACATGACCGCAGTGAGCTGCGACATGCAGTGCAGTTAAATAATCGACTGTTACATCGTCAACGGGAGCACGGTGGTATAAGAGAATTCGAGCAGCATCTACATGATCTCCTTGGGAAGACATATGGAGTGCAGCTAAACCATTCTAAAAAAAAAAATCATGCAAGTACATAAGAGTTATTAGAATTTTAATAATTTCCCTTAAAAAAAAAACAAATATTTGCTGGTTTAGAAATTGAAACAGAAATAGAAAAATATAGTAAAAACCAATTTTCATCACTGAACATAGATAATAGTTCATCTGTATATATAACATCTTTCAATTTTGAATTTACAAAAAATACTATTTCTCAAAATTCATTTCACAGTATAAAAGAAATCTAAAATCAGGAATTTTTCCTTTCCTGCTTGAATTTTAAAATAACTATTAGAACAACCTTTGTCTTAGCGCTGATAGGTGCACCTCGTTCGAGAAGCATATCAACGACTTGCTCATGGCCAGATCTTGCTGCACAGTGAAGCGGAGTGAGACCATCCCTCGTTTTCGCTTCAATATTGGCTCCACGGCTGAGAAGAGTTGAAACCATGTTCGCTTTTCCCCATTTTGCCGCAACATGGAGAGGGGTAATATTATGCTGAAGAAATTATAAATATAAAATCTAGTAGAAAATTTTATTGTGACAACAAACTTACTTTAGCTGCAAAATTAACATCAGCACCTTTGGACAGTAAAAGATTAGCAATACCTTCATTGCCATAATGGGACGCTATATGTAATGGGGTGAACCCACTTTTGGACGTTACATCTGGATTATGCTCATTCTGAAATTTAATCAATTTTAAAATTTTGGATTAAGAAAAAAAGAAAAAAGATTACCTGTAAAAGAAGAGCAGCTGCTTTGCAGTCGTCTTTTTTAGCTGCGATGTGCAATGCTGGTAGTCTAACTTTGCCTCTGGTGTCATTCTCAAGCAAAACCGCAACAACTTTGTCATGGCCTTGTTGCATCGCAACAGCCAGCGGTGTAAAACCATCCTGCCAAAAGAAATTGAGTTAATCTTATTTTCATTCTAACTTAACAAATACATACCTCAGTAGCCAAACTTTGGTTTGCTCCGTTCGCCAGCAGAAACTTGACAACCGAGTCGTGATTTTCCTGGGCAGCCATGTACAACGGCGTGAAGCCATTTTGACTCTGAACATTAACACAAGCACCATGTTCTACGAGATGCTTGACAACTTCTTCTTGCCCAGCTATAAATTTTAAGTTTTAAAATTTACCTCATTACTGACTTACGATTAAAAATTTACCTAAGGAAGCAATGTGAAGTGCAGTGTTTCCTTTCTTAGTGGCTGAATCAACATTGGCTCCTCTCTTGAGGAGCTCAGAAACGACGCTCATGTGACCATCTTTAGACGCTAAGTGAAGCGCGTTCAAACCATTCTAAAACAATTAGTGTACATTAACAATTAAATCTGCTAAGTCCACCAGGATCATGCTAGAATAGGTTCAAATGCTTTGTTTTAGTGAAAGACAATGTAAGTAATTCAGATATGGCAGTGTGAATTTAAATCAGAATGTTGGACAACAATAACGTAAATTGATTATAATAGTCAACAGAAAACATTAATTATTACAAGTTCAGACAAAATGCTACACCTGTTTGGAACCCATTCTATCTAAATTATCAAAAAATTCTTCAATCTGTACAAAACAAATTAAAAAAAAAAACTTTCCTACAAACTCAATCTTCCTCCGAATTCTGCCTACCTTGGAATCAGCTCTGAATTTAAACTTTTCGAACTGGCATTAAGAAGGGATTACTTTTATATTGTTTTTGTATTTAAATTATTAAACAATTTCATTGATAGTCCTTCTCTCCGCTCTCAACTACAGCTACATGTCCCTTCGCACTCTCTTAAAACCTATAAATTATTTTATATTTAATTCCAAAACTCTAACTACATGCTCTCTTCTCTTCTATACAGAATGATGATCTCGCACTCTAGTCTTATTATATTATATATTTACATAGATCATTATTTTCATTAAATATGTACCTAATTATTGTAGTTTCAATGGTCTTTCAGCTTTATTTTGTTTCCTCTGCCTTATTTGGTTAATAATTATGTATTTCATTTTTGTTGTTCAGTGTTTTACTCTTTAATTGTATTTTTTAATTTACCATTTATATTATTATCATGTATATACGTCCTTATTCTTTTTATATATATTATTTGTATTTTTACATATATCATTTATATTTTTTGTTATTGTAAAATGTCTTTTTTTATAGTGGATTTCGATCCGTAAATAAATAAATAAATAAAATTGTCTAGAAATGCAACACTAAAACTTGTGAATTCAGGATCAGTCTTCCAGGAAAGGCCAGTAACACAGTCAAACATAAGAGGACAGCTTATGAACAGCTATGAAACTTAGCACTTGAATTAGAAATAGAAAATGAAGTATTTTCTTCTAGATTTATGTTAACTCAGCTTTACACATATCTACGAATAAAGAATCAAACTTATGACTGGATTTTGGCAGTTCAGGATAAGATTTTGGTCTTACTCGTCCTCGCCAAGGAGATCAACAGCTAGGTCATATCAGCCCCAGCCAGTTTTTAAACAAATTATTTCCTATTTAAATACCATAATTAGGGTGGTGAATTCGATAGCTACATCTAACTAATCGGAGGGTCACTCAATAGACACAAAACAAAAATATCAATAGTATTACAATAAACTGTTTCTTCCAACAATTGGAACAAAGGACTGAAATATTCGTTGCCCACTCAAGCACAATTATATTGGGTAGATTCCTACACGCTCTCTATAAAGAGCCAAGGATGACACCGTTCAATGAAGTGAGACACATCAACTTTTCTCTTTGTCAGACACATATGCGGGTGTCCTTGTGTCACAATGTCAAACAATAATTGTTTGTATGAATAAATTTGTTTAAATTTACATAAGCATGTATTCAATGTTTTTTAAACTGCATTTAATGCTATCTATAAAATCTACAGATGTTTTGTTTTATTTAATTAGACAGATATTTAAATTGGGGGCTGATGTGTGTGTGGAAATAAATTAGAATGATTAATGATGATAGCTCATGCGATTTAGGGGGTAGTGACCATTTTTCTGACCAAAGCATTGTAGTATAAATATTATTTTATTAAAAAAAGAAAGAAAAAGAAGTTCTATGAGATTCCGAGGTTTAAAAGTTGGTCAAATAGTTTTTTAAAAGTTGCGAATCAAGCCTTGCCTTGATGAACTTGCAACTTTCCATCCCTTACGAAGTTTAAAGACTAGCCTTTTATGTATATTCTCGGTCAAAAAATTCTCAACTAAAACATCATCTGTTAATTCACTCCTGTAAGAGAATCAATGTGTAACACGGGACAAGTTCGAGCTCGATCGGAAAATCATTTCTCCCGAAAAGTTGTATTTTTTTCACCTTTCGGCACATTTTTCTCCAAAACCCTTTATATTAAAATGATTCTCATTTTATAGAGCATAACAGGCGCAATTGTAGAGAGGTATTGTTAACAAAATAAAACAAAAAATACCGTTTAGAAAGGAACAAATAAATTTGGAGAAAATTGTAGAAAAATAAGTCAACTTTTTGGCATCTCTTTCAAAAACTAAACGATCTTGAAAAATGACAAAAAATACTGAAAAAATTTAAAGCTTGATACATAAACAGAAAGTAAAGACTACAGTTAAAAATAAATAAGTACCAAAATTAAAATTCAAAGAGTATAAGTTGAGTTAAGCAAAAAAATAGGAAAAACCATGTTCTTCCGAAAAATGGACGCATCCTCTTTAAGACTTTTTCCTCCATAACGTTGAAATATAATTGTTAGTATATTTTAAATGGACTTGCTTAAATTTGTTTTTATCTGAGTATACATTGTACAACATTTAGAAAACCTTCAAATTGCTAACTAATATTTAGAATTTTCAAATATTTATCGAAATCTATGTAGAGACGTTTTGTCTTAGTTTACCGTCATGACGTTTGTTCGTGTAAACAATTGAGTTATGGGATTTTGAAGAAATGAGATGAAAAATGATCTACTAAAGAGAAAGCTGTTTTTCCTTTTCTTTCTAGCCTATATTCTTCTATATTTCAAAAGTTAGAGAGGAAAATTAAATTCACAAGTGAAAATTGCTGAATATCTTTGGTTTTAAATATTCATTGTGATCTATGTTTTATTTAACCGTTATGACGTTTGATCGTGCAAACACTTCAGTTATGGGATTTTGAAGAAATGAGATGAAAGATGATCTACTAAAGAGAAAGCTGTTTTTCCTTTTATTTCTAGCCTATATTCTTCTATATTTCAAAAGTTAGAGTGGAAAATATAAATTCACAAGGGAAAATTGCTGAATTTCTTTGGTTTTAAAAATCCATTGTGATCTATGTTGTATTTAACCATTATGACGTTTGGTCGTAGAAACAGTTGAGTTATGGGATTTTGAAGAAATAATATGAACGATGATGTACTAAAGAAAAATCTGTATTTTCTTTTCTTTGTACCTAGACCTTATATATTTTAATATTTAGAGAGAAAAACCATAAATATACAAGTGTAAATTGTCGATTATCTTTTACAGTTTATTTAACCGTTATGACATGAGATGATGAATGACGTTACACTAAAGAAAAGGCTGTCTTTATTCTACTACGGTTTAATATTTATGGAGGAAAGCTTTAAAATGAGAAGCATAAATTACGGAATAATATATTGGATTTTAAATATTTATGGTTACATGACGTTTGCCAGTGTAAACAACTGAGTTATGAACCTGAAAAGAAAAAATATGAAATATGATAGACAAACGGAATTATTTTCCTTTTTTTCTTCTGACATTAGGCTAATAAATGTTAACAGTTAAAAAGTGAAACTATTTAGGAAGTTACATTTGCTGAATCATATTTTCGGTTTTACATTTTTAGTAAAGCATGATGATGACGAAAAATCGATACATTAGGAGCTCTTTTTTTATATTTTTAACGCTGACATTTCGTTAAGGTTATTTGACTATTTATTACTTGATATTTACTAGCTCAATTTAATAATTATATCGGAAAATACCGAATATTTTTATTACAAAACAATAGTTTTGACTTTTTTAAATTTTGATTGATGTTTTCCTTAAAAACGTTTTGTTAACCGTTCAGAAATTAAGCGGTGTGTAATGGTCGAATTTTGAAAGTGCGGAAAAAATTAGATGATTGATGATGGATGACGTAAATTGACGGTTTCATTTCATTTTGTTATAGTTATTACTGACAAGTGGACTCTGTTTTGACTTTTTTTATATAAATATATTTCTTGCAATAATTCAGAATTGTTAACCTAAATTCATGATTATTTGGAGATAGTGAGATGCGATCTGGTGTGACGTAGGTTTTAGAAAAACATTTTATCGTGCCAACGTTTCGATCTTTATTGAGATCATCTTCAGGGCCTGGGATTTATAAACACTGTTTAAATTTTACAAATATATGTACGATGCGAAAAAAATTAAATTTATACAATGCTAGAGATTTTAGATTCAATCGAAGTATTTGTATTCATTCAAATTACTAAATTCATGACCATTTTTCACAGAGAAAAATTAAACTGTGTGTACTATGCAATTTACAGGAAAAACACTGAGCCGGAAAATATTTTTTTTACATGAAATTAATCTAATTGAATGGTTTTAGTAAAGGACTTAAAACTTTGAATTGAATTATAGAATGCTGCTCTTTGGGATGAAGAACTGTTCATCTTCCAGTTGTACTTTCCATCAATTTTGTTTATTATTTTTCGCTCTCCTTTTACCTTTCCAAAATTGTCTTTTTTAATTTTTTTATCTACTGCTTATCTTTCAAGTTTATTTTTTCAAAAGTTAATTCACAGCTAAAACTGTTATTTTTGTAATAATATAATTTTTGTGTATTTACAATATTACAATCTTTGATAGATTATTCATTTTAAAAGATGCTGAACGTACAGAGCATCAATTAAAGATTTTTGTCTATAGTTTATTTTTGTCGATAGATTGTCCTGAATTGTATATTTACTACTACTCCTTTTTTTTCATTTTCTTTTATATACAAGTTTGTGACATAATGTTGAACTCATAAAAATCATAAAATCGCCAGAACATTAATAAAATAACAAACAAATCCCAAGGCTGATCTTAGTGATTTTATGTTTTTTTTATGAATTCAAAATTTTCACACCCAACCCTGGGTGTATGTATATTTACTAGTTCTATATGCTACGAGGATATATTTAATGATGTTGTTTATGATGTAATAAACCTATGTGAATATAATTATTAGTTAGATATATCCCAATAGATATGTATATATAATGTTGTTGTTTTTTTTAAGAAAAAACACACTTTTCAAGGATGAAGGTAATCATCAGACTTTCTTGTTAGAATAGAGATGATTTTTTAGTACATTTAGCATTACGAAAAACCTTGGTTTATGCTGTAAAAATTGATTTTTTGTTTCGTGTAGCCAGCCGGCCAGGACGACGCCAGTAATTTCAAGTTGTTTCAGATCGATTCTTACCCCTTCCATGGGATCTGAGTTTTATTTAGATCCACTCGCACATTGTTTCGGATACTGTACGAATCTTGATCTGTTTATCGATAAAATACAATTGGTAATTAATTAATAAAAGTTCTTTTTAATTTTCTCGTGGTGACGTTACAACCAACGTTAAATAATTACTTATTCTGGTTAAATTCAACTTAAAAGAAAAAATATTGTTCTGGTTTAGTTAGTCAATAATTTATTAGTTAATGCATGATTTGAACGTTTTTCTGGCTTTAATTATTGATTCAATTATTGATTTATAACATTTACATTTACAATTTCTTTAGCTGAAAATTATTTCATTTGTGATATATAAATAAAAATAATAAAAAAAATACTGGAAGACTTTTTCACTGTAAATGAGCTATAGAACAATCAAGGCGTATTCATCATTCAGATTAGGTTCATTTGGAATGCTAATAAATGTAAAATCTGTCAAGAAAATTTGCTGTGGAAAATAAAGAATAATTGGTAACAAATTAACAGTTTGTTTGAGAATTTTTTATACTAAACTAAAATTTGGCAAACATATATTTCTTGAATCTAATATATTTTAGGTTCTTTATCAAATATATTTCATCGGCTTACCGCATTGGAAGTGTTGATGTCGACATTATTCTTCAGCTGTTCGAGGACCTTGTCCAAGTGGCCAGCTCGCGCCGCTCTGAGGAATGCAGTATTCCCATCCGACTGTAAACAAAAAATACAGTTAAAAAACTCATGTTATAGAAGATCAATTCGAAAGGGTCAATTCAAGTCAAAACGTTTATACCGGAAGTCATACTGGAAAATATGGCCGAACGGATGAAAGGATCTATTTTTAGTAGACAGATCAACTAAACATCAAAAATGTTTACTGAATGATGACTGCCGCACATAAATCAACTTTTTTAACTAGAATATTTTATAATTTTAACTATGAAGCCTCATCCTGATTTCTTGAATAGACTCTCCAGGACAATCGAATTGCTGTTAAACTACTTAATTACATAAACTTTGGAGTGTGGGTTTTAAAATGATTTGCTTATTAATAAGTTTTTAACACCTATCAGATCTATTTTATTTCTGTCGAGTATTGATTGTTATGTATATTTACACGTTTACTTTTAGTTAACCGTTATGACTTTGCTGCGTCAACGATTGAGTTATAGAACTGTCAAAAGATATCACGCGATAAAAGATGATATACTAAAGAAAAAGATCTTTCTGCTCTGTATATTGTTATATGATAAATTAAATTTAAGTAAAACACTAAAACTAAAAGTGAAAATGTAAAAAAAATGTTTCGTGATATGTATAGATGTTTTATTATTTGTTAACCGTTATGACGTTTCACAGTGTGAGTTATGAGGTGGAATGTGAGAAGAAATAAGCCTGAGTATAAAATTTTTCTTTTTCTTTTCCTTTTCCCTGTCATTTATCTTAATTTATTTTAAGCAATATGGATAAGAATAAAAACGTACAAACCTAATTTACTTTGTAATGTTTTTACTACTTTTGTAATTTTTAGTACTACACAAAAATATTATGTACTATGCGAGTGGAATAAAAAATAATGGTTTTATTAATTCATTGGTTTTTATAATAATTTTAAAAATTGGGAGATATTTTTATTTCTTGTTGATGTCTGCAATCAACCTGCAGTTTTACAATCTAATCCTGATCTACATATTCTCATTGGATTTTGTCAATTTTAAGATATTTTTCTATTGTATTTGATATTCCGGATACATTATTGAACTATTAAAAATATACAAATTTCTAATCGACTGTGTAAATTTAATAATTGATGTTAGCCTTCTGGTCACAAGTGGAGTATGGTGGCCAAAATCTTGGCCAAATTAGAAAGATTGGCATGTTTTCAGTTGAGATAAAAAAGTCAATGGCACGAGCGGGATTCGAACCCACGATCTCCGGGTTGATACGCCACTGCTCTACCACTTGAGCTATCATGACCTCGATCCACTCGGACATCAACTTCCCATCTCAGCCACACCTTTTGAATTTTCCCTCCTTTTTGCCATTTTTCAAAAGGCGGACCACGAAACTAGTGAATCGAATAAGTTTAAAATGAAGTATCAGTTCACTAATGCTCTCCGTGGCCATTTCATTTGTCGCCGAGAATCAAATTGATTACACGACATTCGAAAAATGGCAAAAAGGAGGGAAAATTCAAAAGGTGTGGCTGAGATTGTAAGTTGATGTCCGAGTGGATCGAGGTCACGATAGCTCAAGTGGTAGAGCAGCGGCGTATCAACCCGAAGATCGTGGGTTCGAATCCCGCTCGTGCCATTGACTTTTTATCTCAACTGAAAACCTTATTAATTGTAATATATTAATTGGTCCAGCGGACCACGAAATTAGTGAAATTAATAAAATTTTTGATCTACCATTCTTTATAAAAATGCCTAGGGAAATTTTGGAAGAATAAAATCCTCGAATATTCTCAGATAGCCAGCAATGAAGGTTTTAAACTACTGCACTTTCAAACCAAACAATTTTTTGAGGTACGGACCAATAAGGCATTCTTAAGGATTAATCTTGGCTGATATTTTAAGCACATTTCTGGGCTAGCCCGACATTCAATTTTTATCGGAAAATAACTCCGAATAAATAGTGCAAAGATGGGTCCAGAATGGAACACGGATTGGCGGCAAGAGGTAGAAGGCACAAATTTTGACCTGAAAAATCCTCCAACTCTGTGAACAACTCGTGAATACTAAAAAAAAAGAAATTAAAAGGTGGATAGATACATATTTTAAGATAGACAAACAGGGAGGGTATAGATTCGTTTTCGTTCAACTCGAAGGTTTATGTGAGGCATGAATAATAAGTGGTAATTTAAAGGGACGACCTTGCTTAGGACTTTAAGGATAAGGCTTAGTACAAAGGACCTTTATATATTGTAAAAACCACTTTTTATATAGATTAAGGTACTAAATTTATACTTGACACCGGTTTTTCTTATGACCTTACTTTTAACAAATATCATTTCTGTTTTGTCCTTGTATTAGTAAAATATCCTGAATCTAAAGTACCCCGAGGGTCCCGGCAATGGACAATATCGATACGGTTGCCGTGGAGACCTCGCTCGATAGGTCACATACAATTTATATTCACTCGTTTTCCTATTTGCTCGCTCATAGCCGAAGAAAAAAATGACCCGCCTTTAAATTGAGATATTACGTTTTTGCATTTTTTTCTCTCGATATCCATATAATCCAGTCTTGTAGAGAAAACAATTTCAAGATTGCTTATGACAAAACCAAATAAAATGTCCTATTATCGCGACACAATTCTAAACAAAATAAATTGTGGAGATTTTTTTTTTTTTAAGTCATCATCATTAATTTCCTATACTTTAGTACATTTTTTAACCAGTTGGATAATGGGGTTAATCGGCCATTCCAAGTAAGGTGACAAGAACGTTGGTAGACCGTCTAAAAATACATTCTTCTTATCCAGATTTATCCGGGCTTCGTTCGTGGATCTACTACCGAGATTATATATAATTACTTTATTCTTTATTTGTTTCTTGATAAACAATTTTAAAAATGGTAAAAAAGCAAGTATTATACTAATATTATTAATGGTGTGACAATATCGTTGGAATTTTCATTTGACTTTGAGTTTTTTCAGTTTTGTTTTACAGGTGTTTTTTTTATGTTTTGATAGATTTGTGACATTTCCAAATCTGTATTTAGATTTAAACCTGTTGCGTGTGAATCGTCGGTCGATGAAATTCAAAGCTCAAACGACTCGCTCGCTGGTTATAAGTCGAAATCTGGGTTAAGTTGTCCCCTTGAAGGACTGTTTCCGCATGCGCCCAATGTTTAAAATTAACCCATCTGGACATTTCGTCTTTTTTACTGAACGTGCCTATTTTTTGAAAAAAATCTTTACTCAAAAAACAGAAAATGTACTTTATTCATTTTGCGACAGGGTGTTGTCATTTTTGATACTCGTTGAACCAACTAAACATAAATAACTTCATTTTTTTCTCTCCAGGTGTTTTCAGAAATTATTTGCAACCATCATAGTTAATATCAATTAGCAACAAGTCTTTTTTTATTATACTTAATTTATCAAACAATATTTTCATTTATTAAGCTAAGATTAGTAGTAAAGATACTTAGAAAAGTACTGATATTTTTGATACTTATATAGTGAAAATAGCGGTCAGGAAGTACTAAAGAGATATTTTCTGATATTGTTTTTTTGGTACGTCTGCTTCTTTCTGATATCTTGGGCTTATTTTTTTCGTTTTAGGCCCGGCAGGGGTCAGAAAAGTACTAAAGTAGTAAAAAGTCTTTTCTTCGTTTTTCTGGTACTTCTTGGTATTTTGTACTTAACAAGTATTTTTTCATTATGCTTATGCTTTTCGAACAGTATATTCATTTCTTAAGCCAAGATTTAATTTGACAATTACTAGAATTTTTGATACTTAAATAACGAAAATAAGGCCAGAAAAGTAGTGAAAAGACTTTTTTTTCTTATTTTATATATTTCCTTATTTATTATTTTTTATACATTATATATAAAGAATCTCATTACCATGTAATATACCAATAAGGGACTAAAATAAAATATATGTTTCAATTACAGTTTTAAAACCATGTTTACGACATTCCCCTCAACAAATAAAGTGGGTGGAAAAATAATATATATGTATCATTCGTCCAAGTATAAACACTTTTATGGGAATTATACCATGAGATTTCTCTATGTTTAGTTTCTGATGATGGGCCAGGAGCCCGAAGCATCCATGTAATTTGCTAAATTGAATAAAGGTTTTCAGCCACGGAGAACTTTGAATTGTTCAACCTATCAATAGAGACTTTGAAAAGTACTGAGATTTTGATATTTAAATAATGAACCCTACAAAGGTTTTTGTTTTAAAGGTGTTTTTAAAGACATGTGTTTTTAGATCATAGGCAAATTACATTAGTCATCGTCAGCCCTCTGAGCCTTCCTTAGCTTTACATTTCTTTTCTTATCTTTTTCGCGTATTAATCCTACTAATTATTATTATTAATTTTTAAGGGCGTTTTAACGGCTAAGGTCATTTCACGCCCTAACATCCCAAACCTTCTATCTTAGTTTAGCAATATCTCTTCTGAGTGATATAAAGCTCTGCCTCCAAACATTCACTCGTAAACTAATTTATCCTATTGCCATCCAACCTTTTAAAATTCTTAATTTGGAAGGCCAAATGTATGCAAAAATCCCATTTTAAATTACATATAAAATTTATTTATTTATTTTTTTTAAATTAGAATTCTGAATTTTTGTTCCATAATTTAAACATTTCCCATAGGCTTGAATGGCTAATAATAATAATAATAATGGAGTCAGACTAGCAACAGTCTCAGAATGAGTATAGGCTCATCCTAAAATTTTATTCTTCCATTCAAATATGATAGATAAACTAATTCTACATAACAATAATAAGAAACAAAACACAATAACACTTCTTTTTCTTTATCTTTTTTTTTTTTTTTAAATTAGAATTCTGAATTTTTGTTCCATAATTTAAACATTTCCCATAGGCTTGAATGGCTAATAATAATAATAATAATGGAGTCAGACTAGCAACAGTCTCAGAATGAGTATAGGCTCATCCTTATCATTTTATTCTTCCATTCAAATATGATAGATAAACTAATTCTACATAACAATAATAAGAAACA